TAGGCTGTTCTCTGCCACAGGAACATGTTTTATTTGCCATCTTATTTTCTGTTCTCTAGCTGAGTTCTTCACTTATGATGGAATCTTTACTCCATTCCCTTTTGGGAAAGGAAATGCTTCTTTCTCATATTGGAACTCAAATTCTTCCCCCCAGGGGAAGAACATCACAAGACTAGCACAACCTAGTGATGCATACATATGCTACCTTAAGTTTAGCACTTGATCAACAAGTGAATTGCAAATTTCAGGTATGCATGTTTATAATAGTCACAAGTTACATATATCCTCAGCACAGAGTTGCTAAAATCACTAGATGATCTATTGCAGATTGCTAATTTTGTCAGAGAACAAGGAAACAAGCAGAGACACAATTATGAGGGTTCACTTGCAGCTAACATCACATGAATGTACTGTTCATCATATTAAGAGAACAAACCATTAATGAAATCTCAGTAAGAGGAAAAAGTACAACTAGAAAAGTACTTCATGGTGAATGACTTCATTAGCACGTGAAGCAGTCAGGTTTAACTTCAGTTAGCAGCTGCACTCTTGCAGGTTATACCAAATCCCTTCTTACATAGGATGCATGGTAGAAAGTGACAACTTTGGTAAATGTGAGAATCCTTGCAATAACTGGTGGCAAGCAGATGCAGATCTGCACATAAGATTCCTTGCAATTCATCTCAACTCAAACTTGTTGCAAGCTGCTGTTTTAACCTTCTTCCCCCACCACCTCCTTGGAGTTGTCAGCCACACGTCTTTGCCTCAGACACAGCAACTGTGTGAAGTGGTCCAGTATTTAATAGGGTTGCCAGACAGGGCCCATAATGCTTTACTCATGGCCTAATTATACTTAAAACCTTCAGAGAAAAATGCAAGAAGTTTCATTCCTATTAGCCACATCCTTTCTCTCATGCACATTTACGCACACTCACACACCCACTCTTTTATTGTACTGCCATCTTTGCACAAACATTCACCTCCAAGTGTTTTAACAGAGCCAGCAGAATGTAAAAGCATGAACAGGTTTCTCAGGAATATTGCTGTATATGTGTGTGCGCATGTGTAAGTGAGAGAGAAAGAAAGCACAAGCACACAGAACCAACGCCATGGTACAGCAGCTATGAAGTTACACACATAACACTTTTTTCTTTACAAAAGGGAAAAAATAGTATAACAGCATAAAGCCATCTTGGCAAGCTTAAGATTTTCCTCCAAAATGCCTTCCAGCACTTCAGGATCTCTGAGAACAGTTTAAAGAGGGTAGGGAAATAAAATAAAAAAAAAAAAGGCACTTAAACAAAGGACAAAGGCCTGAATCAAGTCAGTCATGGAGGGTAACAGCCATTTCACCAGAGCTAGGACCAATCAAAATCTACCAACCTTTTTTAATTTCTATAAAATTAAAATTGCATAAAGCATTAATGAATCATTTACCTACTGCTTTTTCACCTTCTGGTTCATTGTATGGAAAAAAACCCTAAACAAAAAGCAAGTGTCCCTTTACTGATTTCCCCCCAGCTCAGCAAAAGATGAAAGTTAGGTGTGGAGAGAAACCTTCCACAGCTTGGCTTGGCTGCAGGTTCTCTCTGCAATGCCATCTTAAAAAAAAAAATCCAAAACAAAAGCAGAAGAGGGACCACTGTGCCTCACCAATTCACTCAAAAAAACCACCCCCAAAAAAACCAACCCAAGAAACCCCCCCAAAACAACAAACCAAAACAAACCACCAACCCAAACACCCCAACACTTCTAATCCATCTGTGGGCAAAAACTACTCAAAAGAAAACCAAACAAACTGTAAACTAGATTAAAATTTGCTAATAAATACAGCCAAAAGTTCATTTTACGAATGTAGCAGCAAATGTGATAGTTAGTTGGAGTCCAAGATGACTCCCAGAGGGTTAATGGTTCACACAACTGATGGCAGCTTGGGAGAGTTGCAGGATTTCTCTGTTTTCACGTCCTCAAGGGTCTTGCACCAAGTGGAGAAGGAGTGTGGAGGAAGGGTCAGGTGATGGGACTGCAGGGAAGGAAACAGGCTCTTGGCACCTGTCCCACCCCCAGATCTGTGCATCAGACAACTTTGATCGGATTCAAACAAGAAGCAGAACCCAGGTAATTAAAAGTTACTTCTGATTAGCAGAAAACAGATGTGAAACCCACAGCATTCACACTTGTGACTTAGTTGGTCAGTATTAGTCATTATCTCAAATCAACAGAGAAGGCTGGACAACATGATTTAGGCCGTTTGCATCTTGAGTGGGAGAACACTGCAGTTACAGTTCAAGGTATCAGGAAGCTTTGCAGCTTGATTTTCCTCTAGCCTGCCTTCTTGCTTTACAAGTCTCTCAAAAGGATTTAAAATAGCTACCATGACTTTTGGGACTTTGGGTTACGTAGCAGGAAATATTACCCAGATGGTTTTAACATCTAAAACCTGTCTTTGAAATTATTGCTTGCATTTGTTTGGGGCTTTCAGTGAGCTTGACATGTTAGCTCATATACAGCCCCCAAACCAAGTTCAGCCCTGCTGCCTGGAAAAAGACAGCTCCACTTGGCTTTCTTATTGCTTGTGAATACTGAGGGTTATTTAGTATGTACAACTACAGTTTATTTATTAACAAAGGCCCTTAAAAAGTAGTAAAAGCTTGGGGTTAAATGTCTTTAGGAGAGCTGCTGTGCAGAAAACAGTAAAACATTAACTTAATTTTGCATTTGGATGTTGCAGAAATCTTTCACTTCCCCATCCTCTTTGTGCTACCTGCAAAGGTCTCTGGGAGCCACCCTATTATTTCCTTTGATTTGGGCCTGCTAGGTTTAACCAGGGAGAACAGGGAATGCAGACCCTTTCATCTCTATGTTGCCAATTCCAAAGATGCTCAGTAGCATAATGATTGAAAACAGTTACCCTCTGGGGAGGCTGTCTGAACTGGCATCACAATGTACGGTCATTTGACCTCACATCATCCTACTACCTATTTTCACAATAAGTATTATTTTACTTGTTTCCCAAGGCTGAGAAGCTCAATAGGCCACACAGACAGGACTACTCCTACCCTCCTTCAGATTTAGAGGGGATACTCCCAAGAAGAGAGGAATGTTGAAAGGAAATCTGTGCTGAAAGGGCTCCGAGTCTCCCAATTAAAATTTAATCATTACATATGAAGACAAAAGATGGCAGTTTGAATGAGATGCCTTGATGAGGAAAACATAGAAGAGGTAGAACTCTCTTAGGACAGGGCCTTTTAAATATATTGCTGCCTGATGGCTCACTGCTGCAACTCCCTTAGCTACACACATTGGTAAAAACATCAGGTTTGACACAGTTCAGAAAATCAGCATCCTGCCAAAACTGTTAGGCCTCGAAAAGCAATAGTTGTCTTCCTTCAACCCTTCCTGGAGGGAAAAAAAATTATCAGATCAAGCTTGCATTCCAAATAGTTTATGGTATTTTGACAGAATTTGCACAGTATTAAGAATGCCAGTCTACATTCCTGTATGTTTCAACTTTAAATAACACCGATGATGGAGATGCAAGCTTATCTAATCAACACGCCACATACAAAACATTAGCACTAGCTAAAAAAGCATTTAATTGGCAGATGCTGTGGAGTGAAATTAACAAACTAATGCATCTTATTTTAATTCAATCTGTCTTTCACAGAAGTGTTGTGCAAAAACATTTATTGCTGAGCTCAACCCAACATTTTTATACTAAATACACAATATATATTATTTGAAATTCATGTATATATATTTATATAAAATTAAAATGAGCTCTAAATAGAAAAGAAATTGTTGTCTGGTCTAAGAAAAATAAATCACATGTCAAAGGAACCTGAAAGCTATAAGTTAATCTAGCAAAACACTGAAGATTCATTATCCATGGGTCAAAGTCTCTCTGGAAAGTGTGAGATAACCAGTAGTCACTGGTTCAATCTCGAATCAAACTACTAGAAAGACTAGCTACTAGGAATTTCAGCATCTCTGATCAAAGGAATGTTTTGGGGTTGAAGGAGAAGGGCATCATACAATTTTATTTGCTCCTTTCACCTATGACTTATTTCAGTTTCTGCCATTCTTGCCTTCTTTTATCTGACAGCGCAAGGGACTCAACAGCAAAGTTCTGTCCTAGTGTTGAAAGTGCAACATGTGCTGGATACTTCCTAACCTTACAAATGAACCAGTTGATGTATTGCTATCCAAAAAAACAAAAAACCAAGCCAGCTTTGCAGTCTTGTGCTACCATGTAAGGAAGAGTTCAGGTCCGGAACACCCCAGGCCAGCAGGGGCTGGAAATGCTGAAGACAACCCATTCAGCCCCCAGAAGAGAAGGCACCTCTGGTCGCTTTTGAACGACTCCTCTTTGGCTAATGCCTGAAGCAGTATTAACCTGGCTCTGGAATAGGTCACGATCAGCTTTCTTTAACTAGCAAATCAGTTTAATGCATGGCTTTTGGGAAGAGTTAGATGAAAGATGAATATCTAGAATGAGTAAAGAACTGGTTGTGTTTCATAAAAGACATGAATAGAACATTAATTAATTTCAGCAGCAGATAAGCACAAGCCAAAGGAAAAGATAGTTTAACAAATGGAAGGACTGAAGAAAATGAGTGTGCCTTTAAGAAAAATACATGGGGAAAGAAATGCCAGTCTGACCAATAAAATGTGGGTTTCCTTTTAATGTGACTGGAAAAATTTCCATCCTCTTCCTCCCTTAAGTAAGAATCTTTATATTAAAAAAAATAAAATCAAACAAGAAACAAGGAATTTCCCAGTAGTCTGTGTCTCACATCTTGATGAACCAGGAGATCTGTTTTTGAAAACAACTCTCTAATGAGACTGCATACATCTGTAGGCTCCCTATAGCCAAAAAGCCTTGTAAAGCTGGAAAAAATGTCAATATCAGAAACTGCATTTGTGTAAGGGTTTAATTATAATGCAAAGTATCCCAGCACCACCTCTGCTCTACATAACCTTTGGTCCACAACCACATAGTACACTCAGGACCTACACATAAGCTTATACTGGGCACTTTGGGCACTAATGAAGGGGATGATTCCACCTTACACAGTAGATGGATAAACCTATTCTAGCTCCTCTCATGCTTTCAACTCTTCATTGGACATCACCCAGAAAAAAAAAATACGTTTGTGCTGCTGTGGGTTTGACGATCAATTTCTTTTAAAAGCCAATCAGAGCAGATAAAAAAAGCTTGTTTCTTTAGGCAAGATCAAACTATAACCAGTCTGCATGACCAGGAGGACCAGTCCTCCTTTTCCTTCTCTCTTTGATCAAGTATTGTTTTCTTTTTCTTCTTCCTCTCACCACAGTGCTTGGGATCAGAATATGTAAACATCGACAGAAACAGCAGCCCTGTGACAATAAGCACTTTCCCAACTGGGCAGATTCTGTCAGCCAATCAGAACTGCTTCAGCTCCCTTGCTTGTCCAGAAGTCACTGGTTTTTCCGCTGTAACTTAGCGTCCCCTTTACTTTGGCCTCCATCTGCAGTTTAGAGACAGGAAAAGAAAGGGAAGAATAAAAGCGTGAGTGAACTTTTATTTTTGTAAATTACAGCAGACACAGAAATTTGGCACCTTCAGCTTTAGCATCACCAAAAAGTCCATTGTCATTATAGTGTGGAAGACTTTGCATCTTCTCTGTAGTTCGTTTATTAGAAATAGCACTGTTGAAACTTTAGATATCAGGCTTTATACCAAAAGATACCATCCTTCTAAAGATTAAGTTGCAGCTTGGGATACTGAAACAGAAATTAAAAAAAAAATCAAAAGCCTTTCTTTAGAAGCCTTTACACTTCAATAAAGCAATTTTATTATTCAACCCATGACACTCACTGTGACAAAATTTCAAGGTTCTACCAAATACAATAAATTGGTTTGTTTTCACAGCCTTTTAGAGCAACACTGCCCAGATTTTTGGTGCTGAGGACTCTGAGAACAGGATGAAGAATCCCAAGCTATTGCCACCCTTCCTGTTCCTTCTCCTGGCAAAAAAGCAAACAAACAAAAGCACAAAAAATCCCAACAAAAAAAAAATCTTACAGGTGGGCAAAGGAAGGTGTACATTCTAAACCGCACTTTCTAAAGCTCTAAGATAGCTTTTCAGCTCTAAGCTGACAGAAAACTGAGATGTTCTGCTTCAAGCTCATCTTCTCAATCAAAATATGCAACTCTTATCAGGGATAAAATTCCCAGGGAAGGCAGATCTTCCATTAGGAAACCATCACACTGGGTTTTTTTTCCCCTACTCAATTTTAATTTCTTCCAGCTAGAAGCTGCTTCATGTTTCTTCTAAGAGTGTATACATGTGTGAACAATCTAATCAATAGACTTCATGTAGGCTGTAAATAATCATGTTAAGAGTCCAGTAAGTAGTATTCCTTTTTACCCAGTGGTTGAATTGGTACACTTCAGTTTCTAGAACTGCTACAATAAAGTATCATTGAAAATTTTGAACTTCTTTTTGTACCTGACATTGAAGACAAAAAGTTCAGGTTCCAAAAGTACTGCTACGGTAGAATGTGTACTGTCTGCTGCTACCAAAGCTTGTCCCTGTGTTGTATCTTCTTTAAACCAGTTTCAGTTCTGGTGAAGTTTTATTTCAGTCTAGGGCAAAAATCTGACTTTTAAGTTAAAAATAAGTAGTAAGAAAAATACGATGTCTTTACCTGTGTAAGCTTGCTGCAAGTGAGCAGGCAGAGGTGAGTGAGACAGTGTTGCTGCGTGCTGAGCACCTGGCTGTAAACCCTTCAGTAAGTCTGGGGATAAAAGGGAGAGCAACAAAGATTAAAAATAAATCTTGATGATTTAAGAGGAAGCCTTTGTGAAATAGTTTTTATTTTTATAGTGTAGCTATAGTAGCATGCTAATTTGCACGGATTTCTGAAGATGTATCTCAACAACAAAAAATAAACATCTGATGGCATTCTGATGGCTGGAATAAGTCAACAGAAACAGACTTATTCAGATATGACTAATCAAAAGTCAGAGCAAGGACCATGCCTTGTGATTAGGATACAACTCTTCCTATTATTTCCTTCAGCAGACAGACCAAAAAGTGATATAAATTAAAAACCTAAAGAACTTTTTTAAGCAATCAGAAAAAATAAACACCATCTTGGATGATACTTCCTCATAAGAGAGCCGTCTAAGATCACCGAGCTAAGGATATTTTGAGGAATCACCATGTTAAGTATCTTATTTCTATTGTGGCATTTGGAAACTTTGGAGCTATATTCCTTTCTAAAGATAAAGGCTTAAAAGTTAAACCAAAACAGCATGTTCAAAACTAAGCATATACTGTAAGTGTAACAATGAAGTTAAGCTTATCAAAGATTATTCATAACATTTGGATAGCAAAGAAATCACATTTACTCTCCTGTATTTTCATGAACCACATTTGAGTCTCTCAGAACTGTATTGCTTCCCTTCTTAATTTCCATCTTCAGGATGCATCTTTCCTTATAGCACAGTGTGATAACTAACTCCACTCACTCTGAGTTAGGCTGTGGTGGAAAGCCGCTGAGGTAGATCCCGAGGTGGTGGTCACTCCAGCTGTGTCCGTCCCAAAGCCAAGCAGCTCCAAGGGAAACTGGAAGGGCACGGTCACAGGAACAAGGCCACCCAGCATCCCAAAAGGAGTCAATGGTGCAGACGTCACATTCTGACTGGTTACAGACAGGGGTGATGCCATGAGAGTCAGAGGTGAGGCGTTAGCCAGTAATGATGCTCCTGCTGTTGACTGTACAAAGAAAAGGAGTACTTCAAGATTTTAAAGCTTTGAGTTGTATTCTTTAAGGAGATACGAATCAACCATTTTCTGTTAAGCATGGCCCTATTAAGAAGCACATTAATAAATAACCACTTATCCACCCTAGGAGAACTTCCCATTGTTCATCTGCTAAGCAAGTACAATTACATCTCAGACATGACAATATGGTTCATGTCTCATGTTCTTCTCATCAGCTTTGCAGATAATTTCCTCTATGTCCTCTCTAATTATGCACATGGTTTACAGTCAGAATCTAGTGCAACATCTTCTATTAGATCAATAATAAAAAATTATCAGATGGAGATCTGAAGTTGTTTAGAAACACAGTATTACTCTCCCTTCTCCAAATCTGGGTCTTAACAGAACACTAACCTTATTTCTAAGGAGGCTGCTTCGAGGCAATGATTTCTGAAAATTAAGATTCATACATAAGAACTCCCATGCTCTGAAAAAAGTCATGTTATCAAGATCCAGACATACATATATATATTTATAGGTGCATATGCACATGTCAAAGCAAAGGGCAAAGGAAAATAATCTCTCCACTCCACATATGTCACAATGAAGTTAAATTCACCATTTAAAAATGAAAATGCAAGATTCACCAGAACATTTTAGCTACAACAGCTCCCAAATCGCATTAATTCCTGTAACATTAGAACAGTTCATTGTTCTTTAACAATCTTCCCTTCATTATGAAAGTAGCAATTTTGTTGCTAATGTTCAATTCTCCAATGAGCTACTACAAGGGAGTATAGAAAGCATTTTGAATCAGATTCAGGATCAGTTATTTTAGATACTTGCATTAAAAAGACTCAGATGGAACAAGACCTCAAACATACGCATTTATACAAGTAAGCCTTAACCAAAGCAAAAACACAGAATCATTTTAATGAACATGTGAACCTAAAATTTAATCTCCTTGAATTCTGTAGTATCAAATTTCAGAAACAGCAAAAAGATGAAAACTCCTTGAAGAGATAAAGTTTCTATTAATAGTTTTGGTTTTACGGTGTTCAGGTGAAAGCAGCTAAAGAAAGGTTAGTTGCCACTTAACTACAGATGTGATGTTTGTAGTAAGCATTTGTATTGGTCATCTTAGGAGTGACAACTTCTAAGACACACTCCATCCCACAAGTAGAAAAAAAAATAAAGGATTAAAAAAACTTCAACATACATGATTTTTGGGTTTTTGCCTTTAAAACTAATAATTTCACAATAAGCCTATGTACAACAAAATGGCAACCGTTCACGTTGTAATTTTTACTGTACAACAAAATAAAAGCTATACAGTAATCGCTTGCAATTGTGGATTTGTCAAATGCCTGAAAACAGAAAGCAGCTTTGTAACGTGCTAGGCCAAGACCATGCTTACTTTCTCAAAAAAGGAGGAGAGAGAAGTTCAGTGATGGAAAGAGCTACAGATGCTCTTTAGAGCATTTAGAGATTTACAGTTCAGATGTTTCTATTTATCTCACTCACTATAGGACTTCATAAGAGTTCATCCTGGCCATGTAATAAATCTGAGTCACTAAGATCCTTAGAAGTCTAAGCCAGAGTCTGCTCAAGAGTACTAATGGTAGGTAGAGGTTTTTTTAAGGAAATAACATGTGAAAATTGCTGAATTTTTTATTACTTGGCTTTGGGTTCCTAGGATGTAACTTAAAGTATTCCAGGGTAAAATTTCTGTGAAGCTACAGCAGGTGTAAGCTTACATTCTGGTAAATAACTGTGTCAATCAAAACGGGAAAGAAGGGAAACACTTCTTGGCAACTCTTCCTAGTTAGGAACACCTTTATTCTTTAATGCTAAATAAAAGCCTTCTGTTACCACAATCTCTTCCCCTTTGGTATACTTGGACTGAGCAGTAATTTTTTCTCTTGAACATACTCCACTGACTAAACCACAGTCTGCATAGCAGCAACAGCCTCATTCAATGGCTCATCTTCCTTGTGCTGCTCTTCTTCTAGGTCAAAGTAACTTCTGAAGTGTCAAAAAACTCACACGTGAAGTCAATCATTATTTTAGTGACACCATATGCTGCTCTGTACCTCTAGCTGATTTTCCCCCTTCCAACCTACCAACACACCTTATTTTGTTGTATTACAGTATGCACTCATGTTACTTCATTATCTACCACACCCCCTCCAGTCCTCTTCAACATCACTGTCTGCCAAAATGCATTTAATCCCCCCAGGTTGTCAGTGTTTCTAAAAAAAAATTACTTGCATTTAGCTACAGGAAGGTTTGCCAGAATTCACCTCATGATCCAACACAACACTACCCATTCCCCATTCTAAGCACTACCACACCCATTTCAGATTTTCTTCTGCATCACAGCAGCTGTACCCATTGGATTCTGCTGACTGCAGCAGGAAGAAACAACTCTATTCCCATTCGCTCACTGTAGCCTTTTTTTGTCTCCTCCGGGCACCTTCCAGAGTACCCAAACTGCACTGTATCTGGTTCAGCCCTTCTCTAGGCCCTTTGTGGTACCTCAGTGGGCCTTACACAGCAGATGGGTCATGGGTTTTAAATTTCAAGTACCCAAAATAATGAGAAGGCTGTGCCAGAGCCTGCCAGACACCTCTTGTTTACTGTAACAGACTTAAGGTACGGTAGAATAAAAGACCATAGAAATGTCTTGTAAAAATAATCTTCCTCCTGTTGTTCAGCTGCATTAAGGAAAACTTGATGGCAAGTGAAAAGATTATAAACCATCACTAAATATATACATCACTACCATGCAATAGCTATATACACTGTTCAGAAAAAAAAACAAACCCCAAAACTTTTACATTTGCTATACATTAAAACTCTGATTTACAGCTATATTGCTTTTCTTAACTTTACTTAAGTAGTGAAGACTTCTGGATAGAGCAATAAAGAGAGCTGAAACCCTCAAATCATCTTAGTAATTAAATAATTCCCAGTATAAAGAATACACAATTTGGGAAAGCAGGTTGTTTTCTGGGTAAATAATAGGTTTGCTTGGATTTTAGAACAGTATTTTTAAAATATTTGTTTGGTATGACTTATTTCCAGCAATAAAATTCTGCATAAGCTCTCTCTCAATTTCTAGTATACTTATATATTAATGAGGTGTCTCACTCGGTTTGACTAGATGTTACAAAGATCTAAAATACGTATTTAATCACAAACACTAAAGCCCTTGCAAGTGTTAATTTTAAATACAAGTCTTGCATGATAAACCACAAGCAACCGAACTCTAGTTTTGCAAGTTAATCATGAAGTTTGGCAACGAATGTACTAAGATGCCTTTTCATATTCCACCATCGTTATAAATAAATAAATATGCAAGAATACACAAATCAAATAATGCAAGAAAACACCATGTTCTCTGAAAATATGGCCATACAAAGCTTACCTTTTTCTAGTGCTCAAAAAAACCCACCCCAACCAAAGTGGATGGCGTTCCACAGTATAGACCAAACAATTTTACAGTGGGGATTTGTTCCCCACTGACCCTTGCATTTCACATCAACTGGAAATACCTATTAGCTAGTGCAAAATAGTTTCATCAGCATTAGCATTTATGCTTCATAAGGTATAAACATTTAATTTGACACATTTTCAAATAAAAATATTGCAAGAAACACCGTTTACAAAATAAATGTGATAAAAATTAATGGAATGTTTAAATGCAAACTTGTTAGATGCGTACCTGCACACTGGCTGCTACAACTGGAGACCCTGAGGCAGAAGATGGTCTGTGTGGAGTTGACAACTGTTTAGTAGCACCCTGTGTTCCACTTCCTGCTCCCCCAGACAGACTAGTCCTACTAGCTCCACTTGAGTTAAGGTTACTGCCTCTGCTGGCAGGTACATTCATTCCAACTCCACCCAAATTATTTTTACCAACAGTTCCAGAAGGAGAAGAGTTGGGCAATTTTGAAGAAGCCTGAGCGTTCTTTGCAGGCTGAAGGCCTGAGGTGCGGTTAGAGGGCAGCAAGTTCATTGTGGGAGACTGCCTGCTGATATTTACACCACTGGTCTGTTTATGAAGGGGGTTGTTGCTGGAGTGACTACTCGGGGAAACTAGTGCACTTGAACTGGAAGAACTGGGTGTTGTTGCAGGCCTGGGGGATGAGGTGGACTTGGATGAAAATTTAGGTGATGCATTGGGCTTGGGTGTCACAGAGGGCTTAGATGCAGTGGGCTTGGGAGAGGCAGCAGGTTTGGGAGAGGCAGCCATGGAGAAGGGAGGCTTGAAACCCTGGGAAGAAACTTGTGACACCATAGCCTTGGCTAAATAGTTACTAGAGGTAGAGGTGCTGGATGTTGTCCGAGAAACCAGTGGGTGAGACACTTTAGAGCCACTTCCAGATGAGGAATTAGACAAAGGCAGGCGATAAACTACAGACTTATCTTGAGCCTTGATGACTGGTGATGAGCAAGACAGTTTGGGATTACTACTTAATTTCACCACTGGATTGGTCTGTGATTTACTAATAGTTGCTTGTAAAGGAGATACGTATTTCTGCTGTACAGCTGAATGCTGGTGCACCTTTGTCACTTGTGATGTCGAGGAAGAACCACCTTGAGCCTCAGAAGATGATACTAAGATATTAGCATCCTTGGTTCTTTGAGAGGAGGTGGAAATAGCTGCTTGGGTCTTAGAGGAAGAGACATGAGTCTGTGAAGAGGAGGAAGCAGCTTGGATCTGGCTTGACCTCTGTAGTCCTTGCTGAAGTAGTTTGGCTGGCAAAGGCTCTAAGGAAACCTTAGGATTTTGAATTGAAGATCCAGCAATAAGGCCTGAAGAGATACCAGTGTGAACTAGGTCCTGGGGTTTCTTTGGTACTGGCCCTGTGTGACCAGCAATAAGACTTGATGAATGGGGTGTTTGAGTGGGCTCTACTTTCTTTGAAGTTGCCAAGGGCAACTTACTCATAATACTTGCTAGTTTCTCTTCCCTCAGCCCAGGGCGAGGTCTAGATGTTGGTGTGTCTATGGTGGACCCAAGAGGAGATCCCTTGGCACCATTATTGATAACAGCCAGAGCATCAGAAATAGAGTCCAGTGAGGGTGGGTGGAAAGAGAGGTCTTCATCCAGCGAGTCATCCAAGCAGATCGTCTCTGGAGCTGGTGTGCAGCTAGAGCTGGCTGGGGTGCAGACAGGTGTGCTGGAACTCAGTACAGTAGCACAGCTTGAATTGACTGAAGACATACAGGTTTTCTGTTCTTTCTTAGGACTGGAGTCCTGAGAACGAAGAGATAAGAAAAGTTTAATAGCTTTCTTGGAGTAGAATCTCTCTCAATACTATTATTCTGTTAAATCAGATGAACTGAAGATCTACTATTGAAATTTTCATATTAAGATACCTATGGTATCTAGGTGTTGGACTCCTGTGTGCTAATTTAATATTTGTATTTAAAAACCTAGTGCTGTCACTCCACATAACTAAAAGTGCACCCTACAGTTAAGAATAATCAGTTCTGCTGGAATTTTTCTGGATCAGAGGCAGGAAACAGGTTGTATCAAACAGTCATAAAATTCAGACATCTAAATACGCATTTACCTTCACTTTGTGTTTAGGGGCCAGAATCACCTTCTTCTTTGCCCTAAGACAGAGGGGATACATGCACATCAGAAGACAAAAGAAAGGCAAGTCATTTTAGTTCTGTTACTCTGATTGTATTCCAGTGAACTAGAGGGATGACTACTGGAGGCCGGTGTTAAAAATAAACCATCACTGAAATTGAATATGGGCTAAAATATAGAGGGGAAGAGAACAAGAGTACTTTTTAATTCATTCTTTGTCATGTACCTCTAAATAAATTAGATGCAAAATTCACTGAATTGTTGCTATAACCTGATACATATATGGAGAGTTATTTTTTACTTTTCTGATTTAGAAAAATGTCAAAGTATCAAGTAATTTCAGCCCCTTTTAAGAGGTCTGTCAACAGAACTATGCCTAAACTGAGGTCACCTGTAATAGTTACATCATTTCACTTTACACTGATGTTTTTGTCACTGAGGAGTATACTTCATGTTCTCATTTATATTTCCAACCATAGAAAAACAGTTGCTTAACCCACTACATCAATCCCCCACAAAAAAAAAAAGTGTTTTGTTGCTTATCAACTGCAAAACAGTATTATCTAACTTCTGTTTATTGCAAGAAGCCATTTAACAAGCTTCCAGGTTCTTTTACATTGTAAGCGAACACCATAGCACCAACTGCAGTTATGAAAGCAAGGACAGCCCTAAGGATTATTAGTCATCACCTTCAACTTAGAAGTTAAGCATTTCACACCTTTTCTCATTTCTATTTCTTCAAGAGGATCAACAGATTTACACTTTATAGGTCATTTGTTCTCCCTTTCTAAGCAACTAGAAATATGCCTGGTTAAAAAAAAAATAATCTTACTGTACGTGGATCATGACTCAGTTTTGATATTAAGTACAAAAATATCCTATGTTAATCATCTTTATCACAAATGTTGCAATTTGTATCTTATTCAAAGTCATAGTTGTTTATTTCAATTCTGTCTGTAAGCAGGCAGCTCCCAAGAGGGACATAGTGCTGTCTGAAAATCAAGAAGGTAAAATTCTGCTGAGATACCCAGCCTTCTGTGGTCAGAGAGATGTTTGAGGAAAAGAACATGAAGTACTGCAGGCTCCAAGTTCAATTTAATATGCTGCACAGCAAAATTTAGGTAGTGTATAGTGCTTTGAAATACTCCAGAGTAAAAAGGTGTTAATCCAAGAATGAATATCAACTTGTCCAGTCACTTCATAACTGAGTTAAAATATAATGCTACAAGAACATTACAGTTACATGTCTAAATTAAAGCATTATACAATTTATTAGCATTGTAAGTCTCTTTAAACAAATACAAAAATATCTCCCTTTCCTCCCTTCTCTCCAAGAAAAGTAGTATGAAGATGGGAAAAAGATGGGAAAAGAACAACCTAAAGATACTAGTAAGTTGTCAGTATTATACTCACGGAGCAGAAGTGAGATGATTGTGAACACTTCGGCTTTCTTTAAAAAGCATCCTAAAGTTGAGGAGAGAAAAGAAACATAAGGTGATGAGGCACAATCAGCATATGACCACCAAATACTCAAATATCCTTGAGTTTTCAGAAGAACTCTGTGATTATCTGTCCCCAGAGCAGCTAGTAGGTAGTTTGTCTGTACTGCTATCATGAGGGAGTTCCAGGCAGCCATAAACAGAAGAATGCTAAAAAACTGAAAATATTTTAAGTTTACATTCAAAATAGCTCAGTAAATGGCCAAGTAGAAGTCAAGATAACAGAGTATTACCTCCTTCAGCTGGACAGAAGAAATATGTTCTGAATTCTCTCTCCTCAAAAGCTAATAAAGTATTTTAAATATCAAATTAAGGATTATTGTAAACTCTTCACACTGCGTGTCCACACATCCATCATAGGCTTGGATTTTGTGGTTAATCTGTTGGGGTTTGTGGTTTGTTGTTTTTTTTTCATTTGTGGTTTTTAGTTTGTTTGTTTTAAAAGCACAGAGGAAAAAGGTCAGAATACAGTAGCCAAGCTTGTTTCTACTTCTCTTCAGTATTGTGAATAGGCCATTGAGTACCAGTTCTGTGACTTCAAATACACTGGATTTACACATACCTTTTACTACAGAACCAATGAATAGCAAGAGTTGGTATAACAAATCTCAACAATTCACATGGTTTTATTTCCATGTTATCAACTCCTGAGCTGACAAGTGGGAAGTGAAAACAATTCCTGTCCTGTACCTGTCCTACAGCTTGCTATGCAAATGCAGCTATAAACAGATAATTAATGAAAACTGGGTCACAGAATCACAGAAC